ATGGCAAAGACAAAAAAAGTTATTTTGATATAAGAAGGAAGTCAGTCATGCCTCGATGTCATCATTCTTCATCTGCTGTGATAAGCAGTCAGCAGCCTCGTTGCTAAGGGGCCCCATGAGATTATGATAAGAACCAGTAGAGAAGCAACATTGGCAAAGGGACATTTACACTATAAATATTGAGTTTTCCCTGGCCTGTGTGGCTCAGTTCGCTGAGCAACCCTGGTGCTGATTGAAAAGTTCAATTCCCGGCCAGGGCACATGCCCAGGTTGCTAGTTTGATCCCCAGTTGGGGTACATGTGGAGGTGACCTATCGAAGTTTCTCCCTCTCCCTTTCCCTCTCTCTCTCTAAAATCAATTTAAAAACACATAAAAATACTGAGAGTTTGTGACGACTATTTGAGATTTTCCCCACAGCAGCCTGTGAAAGAGATCACCCCCTACCACATAAACACACACATACACACTGGTATTTTCATTCCCTAGCAATGTGCTCTAGCAACACGTTGGGACTTTTGCCCTGGCAGGTTGGTCACTGATTCTCCTCTCGTAAAAAGGTACACCTTATATTCAATTTGGACTTCATTTCTTCACCTTCCCTTGCCTAGAACAACAGTGTGTTTAATTTGTGATTTGTTTGGAGTTTGGGGCTTATCTATCTATCTATATAAAAGTCCGACCATCCGACTGGTAGCCATGACATGCAATGACCACCAGGGGCAGATGCTCTGATCCATAGCTATGACACTCACTGACCACCAGGGGGCAGATGCTCAATGCAGAAGCTGCTGAGCTGTAGTGACTTGGCAGCTGCAGTTCTCGGGCGACACACCGGGAACCAGAGAGGAGGGAGCCCAATTCCGGTGTGCATCACCCGAGAACCACCCTCTCGCAATCTGGGACCCCCTCAGGGGATGTCGGAGAGCTGGTTTCGGCCTGATCCCTGCAGGCCAGGCTGAGGGACCCCACTGGTGCAAAAATCCGTGCACCGGGCCTCTACTTAAGAGATATTATCCTTTATGCTATTGGTTTGTAAAATTATTATAATTCCCATGGCAAACCTGTGCTAAATAAATTACTGGCAGAGACAGAATTTTCGCTGCCTCCACATAAAAAAAAAGTACATAAAGTGATCAAAAGCTGCATGAGGGTAGGAATAGGGTCCATACTGCTGACCATTTTCACCACTGTATCCTCAGCACTTAGCAGTGTTTCAGAAACTCAGGTCCCTTCCATCTTGTAGCACCAAAGCCACTAGGGCCTGGGAGTATGGCTAGAAGGCTGGAAAAGACAGAGAGACCTCAGTGTAGTTGAATCATTATTTGTTGAATGAAAAGAAGAAGAAAAAAAAGAATGAGCTCTAGCCGGTTTGGCTCAGTGGATAGAGCACTGGCCCCCAGACTGATGGGTCCTGGGTTCAATTCTGGTCAAGGGCACGTACCTCAGTTGCAGGCTCATCCCTTGCCCTGGAAAGGGTGAGTGCCGAAGGCAACCAATCAATGTGTCTCTCTCACACTGATGTTTCTCTCTCTTTCTGTCTCTTCTCCTCCCTTCCACTCTCTCTAAAAATCAATGGAAAAATATCCTCAGGTGAGGATTAACCAAAAAAAAAAAAAAGAGTAAATGAATGAACATTCATACATACTATTTAATGGCATGAAAATAGTCAAGATAAAGTATTATGAGACAAAATAAAATAGAATACATAATTTTAAAATCAGTGTGATCACAATTTAAGAGTCACTTAAGTGGATAGAGCATTGGCCTGAGGGCTGAAGGGTCCCGGGTTTGATTCCGGTCATAAGCAACCTGGTAGCCATGACACGCAATGACATAGGCCGATGCTCAAACCATTGAGCCACACGGGCGGGGCTCCTATAGTGTTCTTTACCATTCACTGAACTCATGGATTTTAATTGTTTCACCAAGACTTGAAGCTCTTTGAGAGGAGTGACTGAATCCCAAGGGCCCAGCACATACTAAGCATTCCAAAGGTTTGTGAATCAAATGAAGAAATAAAACAAGGCCTATTCAGACTCAGGCGTTCTTATTCTAACTCCGGCTGCATTTTCCCTGGAACTAAAGGGATCCAGGACTCTCTCCACTCTTGACTGTAACCTGGGGCCTGGAAAGAACTCGGAAGCAACGGGAAGATTTGGAAGAACTGCTCCCCAGAACAGTCGGCACCAGGGCTGCAGGAATGAGAGTTGTGATCCAAGTGGGGATTTCCTGGCAAGAAAGAGCCCAGATGAGTCACATCGTAGCGCTTGAAGGGTTCCCTGAGTCTGCTCATTCCTTTGGGATCACTCACTCCTCCCAGGGCCTCCCTGGGGGACAAAGGAAAACCCAGGCCTGAACACTGGGCCCTTTTCCTCCAACAGCTGCGAGTAGTTTGCCTTTCACCCTAAACCACAAAATAAATGGAAGGGGGAGGGATATGCATCCGCTAGGAAACACTTAGGCTTTTCGCTAAATTTCTTCCAGAAATTTCTTCCAAAGGGCGCTGAGGACCTAACAGGCCAGATGCAGGACAAAAAGGAAGCTTTGAAACAGGTCTTAGCGGTATCAACAACTGTAGCTGAACTATCGACCCAGAGAAGCCAGACACGCTAAAAGGAATAAATCCCTCCCCACAAAGGGTTTGTAAGGCCCCCGGAGCTGACCAGACCCACGGCACCCTCCCTCCCCCCCCGCGCGGGGCAGGCAGGGGGCTATGAGCTC